CACTGAGCTCCACCTGATCTCCACACTGAGCTCCAGCACACTGCACTGAGCTCCACCTGATCTCCACACTGAGCTCCACAGTGAGCTCCACCTGATCTCCAGCACACCACTCTGTGGAAATGGGGGGGAACTCTTACTCACGTTTAAGTAAGTTTGCCTGTCTGTGCTTCTCCTTTGGTATTTTTAAACTCCCACAGCGGGAAAGGAGTGTTTTTACTGAGTCTGTTTTGTTGTGCTGGTAAAGATTTCCTGTCCTGTGTCTCAGGGACCAGGGACCTAGAATGTTGTAACCTTGTCCTCAGACCTGCGTCTGGGCAGGAGACACACCAACGTACAGCAGTGAGGAGTCAGTTCCTGCCGGTCTTAGAATGTAACAAGTCAAAGACTCCTGGATTATCTGCAGTTTTGCAGGTGTCACACTGTTCAGTCCGTACAGGACACAGTGTGACTATGTGAGCAGTAAAGAGACTTAAATCTATGAAGAGGCAGTTCTTACTGGAGTAAAGTGATTGTTTCTGCCTCCTGTCCTAAGCTCTGACAATTCCTCTCACTTTCAGGGTTACAGCTAACTCCTCACGACTCAGATCGGAGCTCTCTTTACTCTGACTCTTACTCCAGGCCTGGATTCAGTTAAAGCTTTTACTCACGTGTCAATGAGTAATCAGCTCAGTTTTTAACAGAGGGTTTGAGTAGACAGTGGATCTTTCTAGAAATCAGAGCTGTCAGATGGGTTGGGTTTCAATTAGACTTGAGGACACTGTGTGCTCTCCGGTTTTACTCAACCCTAATTGCTCAATTAAACCTTTTAAGATTGTGCTCATCTTTAATATTATGGGAGGATTTAAGTTATTTACTAAACTGATATTTATTGGGGTGAATTTGTGTTAGAGCTGAAGTGATTGATCTAATTATGCTTTTAATTAATTTCATAGTACATTTAGCACAAAACCATGAATAATTAGGGGCAGTGGAGTGGAAACACTGTTAAAACAATGATACAATTTAGTTTATCAAGTGCTTTTTATAGCCAGCAGCCATATCACCCTGCAATTCACATCTGCCAACCCACTGGAGCCCAGCAGTGTGAGCCTGGTCAGTACCTGGAGGGGAGACTCCTGGGAAAAAGCTGCAGCTGGAAGAGCTGTTAGTGGGGCCAGTAGGGGGCGCTCACCCTGCGGTCTGTGTGGGTCCTAAAGCCCTGGTATAGTGGCGGGGACACTATACTGTAGTGGGCGCTGTCTTTCGGATGAGACGTTAAACCAAGGTCCCGACTCTCAGGGGTCATTAAAGATCCCTGGGCATTTCTCGATAAGAGGAGGGAGTCATCCCGGTGTCCAGGCCAAATTTTCCCCATCGGCCTTTACCGTGGCCTCCCAATTGTCCCCATGTATGACTGGCTTGCACTGGCCCTGCGATGGACTGGCGTCCTGTCCAGGGTGTTTCCTGCCTAGTGCTCGTTGCTTGCCAGGTAGGCTCCGGCTTCCCACCACACCGTATGGGATAAGCGGTTTGGTAAATGACAAGACAAAGTGCCTTTTATGACATCACCTCAATGTGTTTTTTAAAAACTGAAGGAAATCCAAAACCATCAGTAGAAGACTCATAAATCCATGTACAACAAAGATGTGCATCAGGTTCTAAACAGTTTTCAGTTACAAACATTACTGTCAACTTACCCCAGCATCCTTGACACCCTCAGACACTTTCTTATCAGAGTTACACCTTAAACAAATCGAGGTTCAGACTCTGTGTGTTGCGTTCACACAATTCTAAACAGGTCCAGGACCATCTTTACATCTAACAGACTCTTCCTGAAGTGTGAACTCTGACAGTCAGGAGCTCATTAGTGAGGCTTCACTCGAGAACAGAACACAGGTTACCTGCACTGGGGCCACTTACTCCCCAGACTGTGTTTGTATTCTGACATCAACAGTTAACCACTAGCCTCTGTTGTTCAGAGTCAGTGCCTGAGCTGAAGATCCTGCTGGTGGGGAAGACTGGAGTGGGGAAGAGTGCAGCAGGAAACACCATCCTGGGGAGAGAGGAGTTCAAATCTAAGGTCTCTCCCTCCACAGTGACTAAACAGTGTGAGAAGAGGACAGGAGAGGTGTCAGGGAGGAGTGTTGCTGTGATCGACACTCCAGGCCTGTTTGACACAGTGCTGTCCAAAGACGAGGTCACAGATCAGATAGTGAAGTCTATATCTCTGTCCTCCCCGGGACCCCATGTGTTCCTGGTGGTCCTCCAGCTGGGCAGATTCACACAGGAGGAGAAGGACACA